AAATCCATTGTGGTGGTGTATAGAGCCAAAAAGATTAGAATTGTGTCGATGTCCCAATATTTATGGACCTGACTGTATGCCTACGATGTAGAGATGTACCAATTACAATTCTCTTGGCCGGTTCTGATCTTCTTTCTTTCAACTATAATTGACAGCAACTTCTCTTTTTAAAGAAATTACAGACTGATAAGCTTTACCTCAAAACTTCATAACATTTTTTATTTTTTTTATTTTATGACTAGTTAATCAATTTTTGTTTTTTGTTTTTAAAAAGGTTGCATAAAGAGAGTATATCTAAATTGTTTTCTACAACCTTATAAGACAATAAAACAATGAATAACAGAATGGACAGAGCTTTTTGCACAAATAAAATTCAACTGAAATGATTGATCACAAACTACTTGAATGTGCTTGCCTTACACACAACCTCTCTTACTGCATACACACCAGCTTGCCCCACCCCTCCTCTTTCTGTTTCTGTCTCCCAGCATGTGTCTGCTCTGTTGACTTCCAGTATGTCAGCAGTATCTTTTATAAAGTCACCCAAAAAACACGTTACAGATTCCATTCCGTGCCTGGGTTAAATTTTGAACACCAGAAGATGTTTAAAATGTAGATGTTAAAAGGGTTTTTCTGTCATCTTAAAATTAACAATTCTGATATATTAATACAGACGTCGAACTACACATAATGGTCCAATCCGCGTTCCATAACATTCTAGTGTCAAACTCTCCACATACGTCATTCTGCACAGTGAAGCTCAAATATTACACTGACTTTTGACTATTATTAACAACAACAATAATGTTATATGTACAATGAATAATTCTTAATCAGTAGGCTTTATTGAGGTTATGATAAGAGTAACATGATTTGATTTATAACATTTATATAATATTTTCCAAGGCTCTCACAGCTGGTAAGCATGTCGGTAGTGCTAAGCTAGTTTTGACCCCCCCCACCCACTCTGGGCTGCAGGGTAGTTAAAGCACAGAACTCAGATTAACACACAAAAGGCTCATCTCATCAGGAGGACTGCCCTAGGTTAAGCTGCCTCATTCCTCTGCACGCAGAGCAATGCGGTGGATTCATGTGAGTCAATCATTAGAGTAATAAACACCTCCAAACTACGCTACAGACAATAGTCATGTTTTAACCTTTTTAAATCTGAAGCTGTTACTTCACAGCCTCACTTTCATGCACTTGTACATATTCATATTAGGATCTGCCCAATAAATCCACTGCTACTCTGTGTCACAGAGATATTACCACTATTAACTTCTAATTTCTGACACATATCCTCTCTAACAGCCGAGGTGTAAATCCTGCCTGTGTCAGAGTCAGAGTGAGTGAGGATTACACTTGCAGGCAGAAAGTACCACTTTTTTAAGGAAATATCAGAGCCGACACGTATGTGTGCAACAATCTTGTTCGTTTAAATATGCAAAACTACCTCAGTTTACAGTTGAGGATGATGTGGTCTGAAGTGGATCTGAGGGGAAGATGCTAACAGCTGGCACTGACCTTGTTTTCACCCAAACTGGTCACAGTAGGATTAGAAAGCTGGTCGAACACTAATACCAGCCTCTGCCATCAGTAATGCCAGTGTTGCAATGTCAGTACGCGCTGATACATTTGCCTTGTTATTTACTGGTTATGTTAATCATATATAAATTATCACAAAACTCTATGCATTATAGCTGGTGTGCTAGCAGGTCAGCAAAAGGCTCCATAATCCAACATGTCTTTTAGTTCTGCTCTGTTTCATTGTTACAAATACACCAAGACGAGTAAACACAAAGTAATATTGAATTACAGTTAACTCATTCATTGGACAGTTTACTGAACCTGATGTGTTATTTTCTCTGATGTCAGAAAGAGAGGTAGAAACAAGACGAAAAAGAGGCAATTTGTAACAATACTGCTGGCGAATAGTTAATAAGTGTGTTTCCATCCACCTGTTTTATGCATATTTTCAATTAAACCATGTTTCCTATTATTATGAGTTTCCTTAGTTTCTGTCATATATATAATTTTACAATGTTGATCTGATAGATCAAAAATATGCCTGGAAATGCAAAAGCGGTGCCAAAATGGCACATTAAATTCAAAATGGACTTCCTGGTGGGTTTGGGTATAGGTCAAAGAGGGTTTTTTGAACATTGACATGAAATATGTGCCTACCAATTTTCATACGTCAGTGAAACAGGCATTGTGCTGTTTTATTGGAATCTTGTTGGGGGTGCTATCAGGCCATTTTGCCACACACACGCACAAGACCGATATGAATTTTTTTTTGTCACATTTCATAGATTTTCGAGCATGTTTAGCGCCCCAAGATTTTATAAACTGTTAACCCTAATATACTGTTGCTGTGTTGCCATGGCACCAGGGTTCCACAAAACTCACAAGATTCATTATTCATTATCATTATCATTATTCATATTATCTTCAACGTCTTACTGACTAAGTCTACTGACCAGCTGAATCTGGTCAACCTGAATGTATATGAAAGTATAAAACATGTGATTTCCCGTTGCCAGTAGTTGGCACTATGACTATGACTGAATATTTGCATGTAGATGTGTTTAGGGACGGACTCTCAGAAATATGCATTTTGGTGCCAATTGGACAAAGTACAACAATGTCCTGTTGCATGTTGGTACATCAAAATTCGACAAGCCTTTCAACAAAAACTCAATATTTTGATAACTACTCATCATGATGGTCTTTAGAATGCACTGACCAGATATTTAAGCTAACCCAACAATGCATCAATTTCTAACGCAGGACTTGTAAAGTATGTGTGAAAATCGGCCAAGAAATTACCACTAAAATACCAAAATGGCCAAATTGAGCAATGTTCCGGTGCACATACGCGATCAGTTGTGAGAAATAATAATCCCAGACCAGCAATTACAATAGGGTCCTATATAACAGTCAACTGCTTCATGGCCCTAATATAAAATGGAACCTACCATTGACAAGCACCGCTGATGAAAGCAGATGGTGCCCACTACGTAAATATATACATGAATATATAGCTAACTATTCAATCATTCAATATCTCTCAGAAGAAAAGACATAGTAGATCTGGTTGACACTGAGCATGCTCTTCAAAACGTCACGAACATCTGTACAAACAAACAGAGGGACCGACAAAACACATTTACATTATTGCTACTGCCATCACTCAGACAATTTGTGGCTACAACAATACAAAACGAGCCAGTAAGCTACTTTACTGGACTACCTTTCACTTGTGACCTCTACTGAGACAGTCCCCGTTCACGCCTCCAAGATCTGGTCCCCTGGCATCAGGTTCCTGTCAAGAGGTCCAAAGAAAGGTCAGGTGATCTTTAGTCCCTTTTGTTACACCAGTGGGAGGTATCAGCAACAAAGTAGCATTAAGGGAACTAACATATCTGAATTGTAAATTACAATTAATCATTTTGTATCATTGTAACTTGGTACTGATAGAATATAGATATCCGTATCGTCAAGGGCTGGATTACTCGCACTAATTTGTTATCAGGTTGCCCTAATAAGTCCATTAAAACTGCTCCAATTAAATTCAAAACGCTGCCAAGCACAGTACTGACAGGAACTAGGAAAAGAGATCACATCTCTCCTGTTTAGCTTCTCTGCATTGGCTCCTGTTAAATTTAGAATAGAAATTTTAAAATCCT